ACGAAGAAATCTTTTTGGTTATTTTAAGTTGCTTGTGTCCCGTGAAAGATATTTCCCTTCCCCAAGAGAGATATAATTCAAGTAACAGCAAGGATGACAAGTGGCAGATTGCCATGATAGAGATGCGCAATGTGTTGTTACTATCGTCACGATTTTGACGTCACTCGGGGAAGTCGCTGCAACAACGATGCCAGAAGACGATATGGTAACAGTGGCGGAGATGGCCGTGGTAGTCTTGAATAGTGCTGATAGTCTCGGGTAGCGCTGATAATGCTGGTAGTGCTGGTAGTCGTACTGAACACACGTCGTGGTAGTCTCAGTAGTCCTGGTAGTCTCGGTAGCCATGGTAGTTACGGTAGTCGTGGTAGTCGCAGTGGTAGTTGTACCTAGCGCTGGTCGTGGTGGGTACTGGTTAAGGTAGTCGCGGTAGTCGTGGTAGTCCTGCAGGTAGTCGTGGTAGAGCCTCATTGTATGTAAGACCCTGAAGAAGGAAGGCCGTGCCTTCCGAAATATTGGTAAAAATTATATATATTCCCGAATGTAAAATCAGCCTTGCTTCTTTTGTTTAATATTTTCACTTATTGCTGATTAGATCGTTTATTAGGATCCGGTCCTTCTTTTTTGTAAGTTGGCCCTTGCTTTCAAAATTGAATTTAAATAAAGTTACTGATTGAAAAAGTTATTGATTGATGGATACCAGTCCCCGGGCAAGAAAAATAATGAACACATGAGATCAAAGCCAGTTGTGGCAGCCAGCCAGTCCAAGATGGCGCCCAAACCGTAACCTGCACACACAAGTTTCTTTATTTTTCTTTTCGATAATCGGCGAGCGCGCTCGGCGGACTTTTAAGAGAAAATGGAGGGTCTGTGAACAGGCTACACAAGGCGTGAAATCGCATGGCATCTAGAACGCTACCCGCGGGATCTTCCACGGGACTTGAAAAGTGAGCGTTACAGATTTTAAAAGGAGGGTAGTGTAATGTAAAGCATTTTCAAGATATCTCATGACTGAAAATTTAAGGTCAATCATAACCAAGAAATTCTCCAATTTCATTCTAAAAATTGTCTGTAACTGCATCAATAGATGTAGTTATTCAGCATTTTGTAGAGTAAAATTAGTTTTGTTTTAGTATTGCAATTCCTTAGTTATATATTTTTTAGTCTGAATTTTTTATTTACACTTTGTTAACTCTTCTTGATGAGTAAAACGTTGAAGAGTGAATAAATAGATGTAGATGTAGATCACGTGACCAGCCGCGCCCTGTTTTATCGAGAAATTCTTTGAGTCGAAGTTCCCACCAGATAGAGGGCAAACCGTTTTCCTTTAGTAGGTCCAAAAAGTGGCTACTAATAGTGTTTTCAAAAAAAAAAAAAGGGAATGAGGCGAGGTCAATCAACGTCTTTCTCCTGTCGATAATTTTGTTTAGAGGAAGACTGGAGACACTTTGTAGGGACAATGTTTTGACACAGAGAAACTGGAGCTACTTGAGCCTAGAGCTACTCGTTTGGCAAGTGGCTTCCTCGTCCCCAGTCGCTCGCGATCACTAGGGGATGTTTGAGTTAATTATTGAAAGCGGGGACGAAGGGAATGACTCCCTGCTTGCGCTCTACGCTTTCGTTCCGATCATTCCTCTCTCGTGCTTCTCGCGTGCTCGCGAGTTCCCCAATCCCCATAAACTTAGCCTTGGGAAAGCCTGTGGAGTGGTGGGAATGTGGGAATCGTTGGTACAATTTTTGAACAGTGGAGGGCGTGGTCGATCACGTGACCAAATAATTTAGATTTCTTTTTTCAAATTTTTTAAACTTTAATTTTCTTGACCATGTATCGTTCCTCGGGAATATCTTAAACCATAATTTATTAAAACCATAAATGACTTAGACCTAGCCTGTTCCAGGCGTTCAGATAGTGGGGAGCGGTGCGCTTGGAACAGGGTAACTTAGACCCAGTTGCAACAACGACTGTCACTCATGAGGTTGGGTGACCTGTGGGTCTTCGAGGATGCTTAGACTGCGAAGACGTATTTTGTCGTGGCGACAGCTGTCTGTCGTGGCACAGATATGGAGGACTGGATCGTTTACGACGGCAAAGTTACCATTGATGACTTTCTTGACAAAAACCAGCCTACTAAAATTGATTTCGTTAACATGGGAGTCGTTGCAGGAGATCCAAAACAGCGTCCACACGCCATAGCCGAACCCCAAAAGACAACGCTTCTGCAAGAGTGGGAACAAAGGATAAAAAAGCCGGGGCGAATTACCCACTATTACGTTCAGAGACTTGCAAAGAAATATGCTTACATGTCTGGAAAGTGGGTAATATATTGTCCAAGGTAAGAAAGACAACAGTTAATATTTAAGCTTAAGTTTACTTTGAGAAATATAGAATCAACCTCACGATCAACGACTGCTTCGTGTAAAATATCGGTTCGGAGAAGCAGATATTGCCTAGAATTTTCTTGAGGACGGCTAAAAATTTCTAAATGACTGTTCCATTCACGTAAAATTTTCGAATTTTATCTAATAAATGCAATACGATTTTCTTAAGATTATTTTTTTCACAATTTCACTTCCTATGTTACGCTATTTTTCAGGCAACCTAAAGTTTTCGGATTCAAAAATGTGATGAAGAGGAGAATCAGAAAAATTCTCACTTTCGTATACGTTTCATTGTATTTAAAATTTTCGGGATAATAAAACTGAAGCCCTTGTAATTTCGAAAAGACTCAAGTTTCCCCCAGGATGACGGAACACCTCTGAAACAGCTAGGTTAACGAGGAAACTGTCGTTTGATGCCCCTGTAGAATTTGATATATTATATATTCAGCTTCACAAAATCTTTCTTAGCCGTCTTCTTTATCATGAGTGATTTTATATCATAAGCACTCTGTTTTGGTTTGGTTTAATTGATTTAGTTTAATTTAAGTTTATTAAAAGCGCGGAATCAGACTGATTTCCACGATTTTACGCATCAGCGATTAGTTCCTAGTGCCACGGTGGGGAGATCGGTGGTAAAATAATAGGTACGGTATAGGTCAAAAATTGAAAAATACATCGATTGCAATGAGAAATATAAGTTCATGAACGAAATGATATGAAGCAAATGTTGTGATAAAAAAATCAATGGGAAATGAGTCCACAAAAAAGAAAAATTGAGTCGATCCACAGGCAGCCCAGTCAATAGCTGTAAGCTGGAAAGTAGACTATATTTGCCTGAAAAGGAGTCAACAAATGTGCAATAGTTCCAAATGGATATTCCTTTACCATTACATGGCATTGTTCATAGATGGTTTTCCTGGTTAATTTTCAACTGGAATTTCCTCTTCCTCTGTTTTCCACCAAATATGACACCCCTATCTTATGGGTTGGTACAGCCAAAGCTTGTATAAATGGATCAGATTCAGTGGAGCCAAAAAATGGAAATATTGCAAAACAATTAGCTCCTTATTACCTTTAACTATGTTTCGTTGCTGTTCCAGGTTGGTTTAAATGACATTTTGTTGAGTTTTGCACTCAGAGGTAGTATTATTTAGTGTATATAACTACCTACGAGTGCAAAACTCAACAAAATGACCAAGAATTTGCATTCTTCACACTTCAGGGTTCTTGTCATATTTTCTACTTCGAGGAATGCTCGGAGAATTATTAGCTGGGGTTTTCCTCTCCTGGTATGTGAGGTCTACGACAGCATTTTGATCTTGATGTGCAGGTCTGGCGGACAAAATCGAAAGTGTTCTTTACCTGTGAGGAGCCAAAACGGATGACAATGACACTGAACTAAGCTCCCTCTTTAAGTCTTCTATGAGTCTAGCAAGGGAGAAGAAATTATCTGTAGTAAAGGGTTGAAGCTTTGTCTTAATGGAACAAAGCCATCGACTGACAAGACAACTGGTCAGCAATCTCGTTTTCAAGTCATGTTTTTTTTCTTTCATCTCAACCCCTTTTTTTTGTTGATTCAAATCTGCTTAGAATTTTTTTGTTCATGAACATATATATTGCAAATCTTAACTTTTATTTTTCATTGCATTTGATGTATTTTTGGTTAACGTAACTGCAGAACACCTGGCCACTTAATATACATCTGTAAAAGCGGTTCCCACATTCACAAAAAATATTAACACAACAAATGCAAAGATAAGTCAAATGGTGTATGTATCATTCTTTATTGTTCTTTAGGCCTTCAAATATAGTAATGCACAATCCTATGTGGGTGCATGATTCTTTGTTCCCTACAGCCTTCATGTAAAATTTAAATAAGTTAAACTAATATATGTAACATATTTGTTGACTACAGGGCTACAGGAACTGTACTTACTTGATTTTAATAGATTCATTGATTACAGGACTGTGGGAGCAGTCGGTTTACTTACTTTATTTTAACAGATAGTCATTGACTACATGGAGCGAGACTGCAGGAGTGTGAACTGAAACCACACTTCTTACTTAAACACTGTTGGACCACTGGAGGAGTTGATTGATATCGCTTCAAAGTGGCTGGGTATCCTGAAGTTGCTATGAATTTTTCAATTTTCAACTGTCATATGTTATGTTTTCAACGTGTTTTTACCACTGGTATATTTTTGTTGGCAATGTAACGCCAGGGATGGGGAGTGATGAGTGGCGTCCACATTTTCAGGCTGTACCATAACATGAGAGCATGCTTTAGCAATTATTCACAAGAAATGAAGGGGTACCAAAAGACAAAACTGTGGGAAAACCCGCAGAGAACCCAGCTGGAAGTATAGCTAAATACATGCAATTAATTACCAAAATGTTTTGGCAAATTTTGTTCTTTTCAAGATCTAAGATTGATGCAACCTGGACAGCTATTGCCAAAGCAGTGGTCAGTGGAACATCAGGCACTGCTGCTAAAATGTTTGAAAGTGACAGTGGTGAGCAAGAGAGTTACTATGTCATCTGTGTGTACACTGAAGACTTCACTAATAAGGAGCAAGTGTGGGCTGCTGAACAAAGTCTCAGGAAGCTTGGAATAACTGAAATTTTGCGCTACAAACCAGATATCTACACAACACTGGGAATTTATAGTGGAAATGAGTGGGGAATCAGGCCCACAATCTATCAGTCAAGAGCATGCAAGTGACTGAATTTCTCCTAGGGCACTCATTTTTATTAGTCAGAACTGGATAGCTAGACTCTCAAGAAGAGAATTCCATCAATAATTAGGACTTTCACTCAGATCAGTGTGTATTCCTGAATAGTTTAGTGCATTGCAGTGGTGACTTTTTTTTTGTGAAAACTGACCTGGTGCTCCAGCCAGTTCTGACTTTTCATTAGTGCCCTCAGGGTTTTAATATCTGTGACTCCTGAAATAAAGTGTTTCTAAAGTTTATTAGGGTCTTATTCATCAGCACAAACAGTATTTTCACTACATCAGCATGGAATAAGAGCAAAATAATAACTTTTAATCTTAGAATACATGGTGGTTGATCATATTTTGCAGTTGCTTCTCCCACACTATTTGAAACATTTACTTTTAAGCATAAACTTGCGACTTTGCTGATTTTATATTTTTCATAAGAATGATTCTGAAAAGTAAATTAATTGCCCGGGGGGCGGGGGGGGGGGGGACTGCCATAAATGGGCTATATGGGTATGGGCCGCTGGGAAGGGTATGGTTTTCACGCAGTTTACCTGAGGAGAGGGTAATGAAAT